TGATCTCGACCAGAAAGCAACAGGCAAAGATGAAATAGGATCTCATAGTCATGAAGGAGATGAATCCTTTTCGGAAATTGAAATTGCAAGAGACGCTCAAAAGGAGGCCCCACTAACTGCAGAAGAAGTTATTGGTAAAAGTATGGAGAATGACCCGTTGATGATAATGGATGATGGGCCCGAGTTACGACTAGACCTTGATATGGATCTTGATGTGGATAATATGTTAACAATCGATACGAGCTTGACCAAAAATTTTGAGGACACCGATGACCATGGAAACTTGGATGGAATGGATATTGATGCTCCAGTAAATTTCGACGAAAACAAGTAAATCACATTACATTTTCTTTATCGCGGTTTGGTAATGTGGCTTTTTAACGACCATTTGTGATTTTTTTTTTTTAGCACCATTCAAGATAATTTGGAAGGTCCAATTTTCTCACCATCGTCTCAAAAAAGTGCAGGGAGACAAGGTAAAGTTAAACTGCTATTAATTTTTTTTCATGTCTTTCTTAATCTTACAACATTACTTGATTATTTATAGAAGATAACCTTCTAGAGACTCAAAGTCTTGAACCTCAGGACACTCAGGACCACCCAGAACTCCAAGAACCTCAGGAGTCTCAGGAGTCTCAAGTACCACAAGAACCTCAAGAACAAGATCTAGTTCTTCCTCCACGTACACAAGTTCGTAGGAAACGAAGGCTGATGGTGATGGATGAAGTAACCGAGCTACCTAATCGACATATTAAAAGTCAAATAGACGACACATCAGATATTTGCATCGAGGTTAATAGAATAAATTTAAATTTTCCAGTAATGTGATTTCATTTAATAATTATTGACCATATATTTTCTGCCCTACAGTCATCATATCTTCCCATTTCAAGAAAATTATTACGGCTGGCGGAAATCCGCCAAATGGGGGCTTGGTATTTTCTTGATTTAACCGCTCCTCATAATATTCGGCCCGAGTTACAGTATCTCTTTGCTCGAAAGCGTCAAAGAGTATCTAAAGACAACGAGGCGCAACCAGGTCCATCAGGGACATCGTTAGACCTTAATACCGATACATTCAATAATAATGATGACTTTATAGTAAGTTTTTCTTTTTGTAGTAAACAAACTTGTGGAAAAAAAGAACTAAAAACAAACATACGCCTTTTAATTTGGTCCCTTTTAATAGCCTAATTTTGTCCCAGAAACACTTAACTTTGATAAAGGTTTGTGACTCTTTTAGATTCCTTTCATTGAACTTATTGAGTTATTTACGAAGCTTATATTTTTACAGAAATAACGCAAGATGTTGATGCCTCGGAACAAACAAAAGAGAAAGATCTCACACAGGATAAAGTCACAACGCCGTCAGAGCATGATGATTTTGACAATCACTTTGATAACGTAATAGATCCGATATTTAGTAGAAATGTATTTTCGCCCTCTTACCTAGCTAAACTTTAATTTGTTAAAATTATTATAGTTCGGAAATGAAAATATACCTGATATTAGTACAAGTCCAATTGAAGGTAAACAATTTATCTTATGATAATTTGTGAAATTTATTCTGATGATTTAATATTAATCATTGAAAACCTTCTTTAGGCTTACCGAACATCCCAAATATAACAACCATTTTTGACCAAGATGAACCACAAGATCAACAAAATACCGGCAACTCATTTAGTAGAAATACAGTCAAGGCGATGCGACTTTTGAAGAGCAAATGCCTTAAACAAGATGACGTAACTAGTTCTACAAAACCAAAACAAACAATATTGAGTTTTGAAAGCGCTGTGGGGACGGTAAGATATATTTTTTTAATTTAATCATTATTATATTCTTTATGATCCTTAACATTCAATGATAAATAAATACAGGCAAAACGGCAAGATGCAGTGAAATTATTTTTTGAATTATTGGTTTTAAATACAAAAGATGTAATACATGTTCAACAAAAGCATGCATATGGAGATATTGCAATTGTGTGCAAGGTAAGCTTCACGTTATTTATTATTATAATGACTAGACATATCAACTAAATTTTATAAAAATTTATTTATTTAATTTTTTTTTTTTTAGGAAAAATTATTTGACTTGCTGGAAGATGTACAAACAAAATAAAAATTTCTTTATTATTAAATGTTTATTGAATAGAAGTGCATTGTTTATGGATAATTTAGGAAAAAATTTTTTTAACAATATATATAAAAAATAGACCGATTATCTCTTTTAAGAAATGTTTTTTTTCATTAAAAAGTTCTTTAAGTTTATTTATTTCAATTCTTTTATAATATTTAAGAAAAGAAAATTAGAATTAAACCTTTACTTTATATATTTCAAACTTGTCATAAAAATTAAAATGGTTTAGGTACAGGTTGTAGAATAGAATAAAAGATTATTCATCTAATAATTTAATGATTTCTTTTTCCAAATCTTCAGGCTATATTTGTAAAGAATCAGTTAGCAATCATTGTTGTACAACTTTTAACAAGGATCTTTTTTAACACTTACTTTTGTAATGGAAGAATATCTAAGAACGACTTTCCCTTGTTTATTGATGATAAATTTTTCAAAGTTCCATTTAATTTTTTTAATACCTGCGATACCAGCTTTTTGATCTTTGAGATATTTATAAACTTCGTGAGCATTATCACCATTAACTTCAATTTTTGACAATAATGGAAATGTTACACCGAAATTTACTTGACAAACTTGTTGAACCTCTATTAAAGGAAAAAAAAGAAAAAAAAAGAATCGAGTTAACGATTTTAGTTAAAATTGAAAAAAATATTTAATACAAACCTTCATCGGTACCAGGTTCTTGATTACCAAATTGGTTAGAAGGAAAACCTAATACGATCAAACCTTGGTCTTTGTATTTTTGATGCAAATTTTCTAAACCATTAAATTGAGGGGCAAAACCACATTTTGAAGCAGTATTTACAATTAAAACAACTTTATTTTTAAAATCGGCAAAGTCGACAGGATTCTTTGATTTATCATCGGCCTTTAATTCGTAAATAGATGTGGCAACCATTTTTAATTAATATTATGATTATTTATTACGAAAATTAATTATTTAGTATTATTAATATTATTATTTTTTTTTTTTTTTAAAAAAAAAAATTGTAAAGTTTGAAGATATTTTGAAAGGGAGAAAATTTGTTGAATTATTTATACAAAAATATTTAATGATTATTGAGCCACAAAAAAAGAAATTTAATTACATCAATCCGATTTTTTAGGAAATTAATAAATGTATTATTATTAACTTTAATTAGGGTCGGAAGCGTCAAATTGTAAAGGGCGAATGGGCGAATGGCGTGCATAGATCATTAAATTAATTGAAATTACTTTTTGAAACATTCATTTATATCGAACAAATTGTTTATTTAAAATATCAAACATCTGATCTTATTTAAGTCGTAATTGTATTTCTATGGTTAAATCAACTTTTTTTTTAAAATGTAGGAGATCGATCGTATGATTACAAATGTATTTTTAGGAGTAGCTCAAAAAGCTAGTTTAGAAATCAGAAAAATATTTTCTTTCAAAGCGTATGATGGTTGCAATGAATCCATATAAAGTTACCGTGGCAAATGTCAAATAAAAATTTTCTTTCATATGCGAATTAAAATATAAAATGATAATGTCATAATTCAAGAAAATATGACGCAATAAATGATCTACTTGACATAACTGACATAGCTAATATTCGGAACGGGTTTCGGAAATCCGTTGTTAAGTCCGGAGCACGAATGTGACGAAATGGACTAGTCATTTCTGATCTCGACTCATTTTTGAGCGGGGACACGGAGCATAGTCCGCTCCGGACTAATAGTTATAGTTGATTTTTTATATAATCTTAAATTGATAATAGGTTTTCTTATTTTTAATAAAAATTTTTTATATTACATGCATAGCAATTAGACATATTTGATTAATTAAAAATATACAATTATTTTGATGAATAGGGCGCAGTCAAAGATTGGGGGTAAGCAACTCTTTTTTTTTGATATTATGATATTACTCCCGGCTAGGAATCTTGAATTTGCTGATCTATTAATTAATTCTCTTGTTCAACTTTTGAAGAATTAAAAAATGATTTATAGAAATGGAACTTAATATTAAACACCCCAACATAATTATTTTTAAGCGCCAAATTCCAGAAATCATACCTACGAAAAATCAATGGAACATTAATATAAAAAAAAAAAAATTCACCTATATAATTACTTTAAAATCCGAAATATTTGGAATGAACAAAAGAAAGCAATGTAATAAAGTTTACTAATAATAATAAAAAAGACCACCCGCCTTTTTCATTGCGTCAGAAATGTACTACAGAAAGAACAGAAGGATAACGTTAGTGGTTCTTTAAAATACAAAATAAATAAGGAAAAAAATAAAAAAATTTACAAAATAAATAAAAAGATGTCCGCAATAATGGCAATATTACTGACAAGTAAGATTTTTTTTTAAAAAAAATCCATTTCTTAGAATTATCCCTGTCAATTCATTGTAATTTTTATTTTAGTTATGGTATTTTAAATAAATTATCATTACTTCAATCCAAATCTAAACATCCAAGCTATCAAAAGCAGAGGTTATTTGATTCAATTGTCTTTTTAGTATAAAGGCAGTAAAAGATATTATTTACTTTACGAATATATCAAAGATCCAAGAATCTCACTTGATGATATACCTCGAAAAATCAAGTCTGGATCCTCTGAAATTTCCAGATAAAAGCGTAGCATTAGAGAGAATGAAAGACTCTATCAATCAAAGAACTATAATTGAGTATAATAGGTATTTATTTAATAAATTATGTGACTCGTGTATAATCAAGTTATTTCGTAATGACGCATGATAATATTTCTTAAAAACAACGAAATTCATGAACCTTTGCTTTGTTTCCAAAAGATCGCTTCTATTTTTTTTTCTTACCACACTTATTACTATTTTTTTTTTTTTTTTCAAAAGAACAAATAATAGTTATGTCTGTTTCTCCTATTATCGATAAAATAAAAAAAGTGGGATACGAAAACCCTTATTTCCTCAAATTAAAGCAAGATCATCTTCTAAAGATTATGCTTCTTGGACCTGCTATAGTATTGACAGATTTTATAGATACACTCAAAGACGAACATCAAGGTAAGGCATTTGCGTCGTAATAATTGCCAACACGAACGTGACGCGTAATCCGTTTTGAAATCCAATATCCCACCTACACCATGTAATAACGAAAGTATTTTCTTTTTTAATTAGTTAGCACTTCATCAAAAACGAGGATATGATGAATCGATGTTTCTTGATCAAACCGACAAAATTTGTAATGAACTTGTTCAACCATTCAAAACTATCCCGAAACGAGCTCATGAACTCAAATCTCTTATTGATCAGCCACTCCTCCGAAAGCTCCCTGCAGCTGCATACGAGGAGCTTAAAAGCTTCCGGTTAAAGGAACTTATTAGTACAAGCGACAAAACGACTTAGCAATCCGCATCAGTAGTGCATTATGCAGTTCCATGGATAGAGATTTCTTAAACATTACATCTGAATGCATGATGCACCATCTCTATGACTGTTTGATTAGAATTCCCCTCACAACTGTTAGTAGACATCTTGAAAACCATTTGCTATTTGAATATGATCGAGATAATGCAGATCCGAGATCAACAACGATATCGTCCAGAAAGGTGAAGAAAAGGCTAGAACTGAAGATTGCGATCTTGCTGTAAATGAACTTATTGACAATTTTAATTTAATTGATCCCATTTCTTTTGTGATATTTATTTCATTATTTGTTATGTGGCGGCAGGACATTTTTTGTGCTTTTACGCAACCGATGGTTCCGAAGACTCTAAAAAAAAATTTATCGCGCTTAGTTAGTCCCGCTTACAAATAAATTTGATGCTAGCTTACCTTTAGATAGTGCTCTTATTCTCCGTGTAGTTATTAACATTGCACGCATCTTAATAACATTGAAAGGTATCATCCCCAGCGAGGTTATACCTATTGGGAAGAGACAAAGGTTAGGAAAATCTGAGATTACATTTTATGATGACTTAGTTGTAAAGAAGGTCGCAAAGCTTCTAATTTGAATCACTCTTCAGTTTAGTGGCTTTACATCTTTACTGGGTGAATGAATACCTAGGATCATACTTTTTTGATATGCGTCTTCTTCGGGTTTGCGTTCCGATGATTGGTTTTCCAAAAAATCCACATATCATCTCGTCCCCATTTCTTATTCTCTTCTCCTTTTCTTCTTCGCACTCTAAAATGGTTTCTCTCAAATCGTCTAACCTCTTCCTTCGTACACTTTCTCTGCCTTCTCGTAATTTCTTCGATGATAATAGCCATTGTTTTAAAAAATTAAAAAATTAAAATTAATTTTTTTAGTAATGCATATATGAAACATTTATAAACCCACGTGTGAAAATTTTTGGAAACAAGCAAACACCGAATGAACGAGACTAATGGTTATTGGAAATATATATGATATTTATTAACTTTAAAAAAAAATATATATATATATATTACTAGTTTATAATACAAATACAAAAAAGAATAAATAGTATAACATCAAAAACTATTAAAATAATTTTTAGGACCAGAATATGATGTACTAGTTGATATTGACCAAGGTGATCATTTATTATGATCCTTTATTATATAAAATCCAACAATCAAATTTAGGTTACAATATATCTCAAACTTGGTTTCTCTTAATAACTTTTAAACTATAAAAATTAAAAATATACTAATAAAGTTACAAGTTGCGAAGTATAATGTCCATAAATCCCCACCCAATTTCTGAAAATTTCATTTCGACCATTCCTACAAGAAATTTTCCAGGGACGTACCAAACAGCTTTAATGGATATTTGCTTCAGGAAGCGGCTCTTTCTATATCAATTCCCGTTTCGCCGATCGATAGGGTGGAGGTCCCTCTTGAGAATGAGATTGAGTTAAGGACTCGCAGCAACAGTTTCTTGAGAATGAGTTAAACTCATCTCTTTTCTCCTCCATTAAATTATAAAAATTAATACTTTGTTGTTGTTGCTGTTTTCGTTGCCATTTATATTCGTAATAATATTTGTTCACAAATATTTTCATATTATGGGAAAAGAAATAGAACGAAATAAATTATTTGAGTTTAATGATTAAAATTATTGGAGATGAGATTTTTTTTTTTTTTTTTTTTTTTTTTTTTTTTTTTGAAAAAATATACAACTGTTTAAATAAGAAAAATCCGTTCCAAGTTATCTAAGATTGTCGATCTTTTTTTTTTTAAAAAAAAATTTTTTTATGTAGATTATCAGTTCTGCACGACATACTTTCTTGACCAAATAAAACAACTATGATCGTCATGGTGGGTCAAGAAAGTAGCACCAGATGGGCCAAGAAGGTAAATTTTTGCGTTTGGTAAAGACATTTCGTGACGCCATATGACGAGGTGTCACGTGTTATCGAAAAAAATTCGTGCACGATGTAAGGTATTTCATCATCATAGTTAAATAATAAATATCGTGGTTCTTGACTCCAAAAAAAATTTTTTAAAGTTTCAACGTTGTCAGCGTTAACGAAAAGTCAAACCCCTATATTTCAATATAGTTAAACCCCCGAATTTTTCCAGTCAACTATACTTCAAAAAAATTATATTTGATATCAAAATACAAGTTTTTTTATTTTACTGAATATTTATACAGAATCAGTCACCGAATCAGTCACCAAACTAAGAAAGGGTTAAAGGTGATAGGAAACGGAGGTGTCGACTTATCTGGAGAACACGAAGGAGTGAAATTCGTGATTCAATGCAAGAATTTCAGTAAAGAAAACTCTCATGTGAGAGAATTTTAAGTACGTAAAATTCATAGTAAATTATGTTTATTATTTCAGGGCTTTAATGAATTATCCTATCGGGACACTGTACACCTATTCTAGGTGTATTTGTAATCATAATTGGTTACATAGATATTTTACACTATCACAATTATGAATATTAATATTTCGATATTAATTTGTGGCATTTCTTTTGGTGGTGTTTTATGTTCTTTATGTTCTTGTAAGAATTTTGTATTTCGATTGAGTGTTGACTTTGATGGAACAATTGTGAAGCAGAAATAAAACCTATAAAATAGGTAAAATTTTAATAGTTTATTAATATTTGTATAAAAAAAAATTAATATACTGTACGCTCCTGGGTATAACTTAGTAATTTCATGGGGGGAGTTAGGAATAACCATTACTTATATAAATGTAACTTCTACCAAGCGTATAATAATATTTCACATCATTACAGTCAACGCCCATCTTCGGCTGTGATCGCTTTGACAATGCTGATTTTAAAACATTTTTGTATTTGACTAAAATCTTTTGCACATAAGAGTCATTTGGTATTGACAGTTGCTATTCGATATCATGTCATGTTCTGTTTATATATAATAAAGAATCTTGTAATGAAGTGTTATAAATGATCATAAATATTTAATACTCAATGGATATGTACCTAAATTATGCGTATGGCGCAGTATTTTCTAAATGAATTATTCGAGATGATATTGCGTGCATGGATCCAATCCATACTATACCTAATGTAGTGTCTGTATTTTTTGTCGTGGACGAAAATCTTGGTATAGATTGAATATACTGTATTTATCGAGCGATCAGGCATTGAAATGAGGGTTTTTTATAGGGTAATTAGAAATCAATTTGTGAGGAGGAACGTTTGAGCTAATGTTCGACAATGATGTATGAATGGTTAATAATTTTTAATAACCCATTATTGCGATCCAAAGAATTTTTATCGACTTCAGATACATAGATAATCACCTTATTGTAACTTTTTTTGACGTACAAATAATAATGTAGAAAGGTCCATTATAAACTAAAGGACAGCAGTAATGGTGGAGAATTTGTTTAAAAGGGATTTTAGCAGGTTTTAATGCAGGATCCAAGAAGACCGCGTCTGAGGGTATGAGAGCTAACGGAAATCTCGTTTCCAAACAATCCCTGTAAATTTAGGATATAGGGTCTCTTTTGCAATGCATGGGGATAACAATTGATTTCATTCATTAATTAACAAGAAAGAAAATTTCAACCTTTTTTTTTTTGAAGCTCCGCTTACATAACCACCAATTTGAACTTAATAAATCATACTTAAAGTAATTCCTTGACTTATTGGGAAGAAGGGACAAATTGGAAACAAAGACAAAAATAAATTATTAATTTATCATTATTGTTGTGCAGATTTATCTATCTTAATTAATATATTTTTAGAAATTTGTGGCGAACGTTATATTGGGGGGGTCAGATAAGAAATGATTTCTTTAATGGTTTTTTATCGAATGTATTTTGTATATAGAATTAATTAACATCTGATGTGTCACAACGATTTTATACTTTTTCCAAATGATTATCATTTTTTTTCCCTTTTTTTTTTTTAAATGACGGATTTTTCACATTTTTAAATTTTTTTAAAATTTTAAACGCAAGCCTTTTCTAAAACTTTTCCATTTTCCTCCCTACTTTCTTTTTCCTTTTCCATTTCCTTTTTCTCTCTCTTTTTCCTTTGTTTTTTTCTTTTTTGCTTTAAAGCAAAATGTCTTTACAACTACTCACCGATGATTGTTTATATGAAATCTTTAAACACTTGGAAAAGGATAAATCCACCTTGTACACATGCTTATTAGTTAATCGACGTTGGTGTGAAGCTTCCGTTCAACTTTTATGGAGGAATGTGTTTAATTACAATACTTTAATTAAATGCCTTCCCGATGAATCAAAAGAAATTTTATTCAAGAATGAAATTATTCTTCCACCTTTAAATTCCACCCCTCCTTTATTTAATTACGTTTCGTTTGTTAAATCACTTTCAATAAATGAAATTTCTAGGACGATTGAAGTCATCCTTCACGATCATAATATCATTCAAAATTACAAAATTATTAAAAATCGATTGCTTAGTAGGAATTTGTCTACTAGAGATCGCGTTCAACTTATTAAGGATTATCAAATCATAAAGCGTCGACTCGTTAAATACATTCAACTTGTTAAGAATGATCCCTTTCTCAAAGATCATCAACTGATCAAAAATTTTCATCACGCATTTCCCCTTATCTCTGAAAGTCCAAAGAATAATCGTCCCATCACCAGTAAATACCTGATAACTGTAGTGACACAAGAAGTTTTCAAAATGTTTATGAATCAAATCTCTTTGAGAGAATTAAATTATTATTCTAGTACTTCCTTAACTTATTACGTTCCGAATATCACGTTTACCGTTTATCACGGGGCCGCCGATTGCTTTAGGAATCTAACGGAACTTAGATGTTGCTCGGACGTACATTCCGAGTTTTTCTTACAACTTTCACAATTTTGTCATAAGATTCGATCCTTGGATATTAGACTCCGTAGAGTAATTTCTACGGGGGTAACTAGCTTGATTTCTGCCCAAAATCGTTTGACTTTCCTTCGTTTATGGCAAAATAATAAGGGGTTAAAAGAAATATTTCCTTATTTAACAAAACATTTAAAATCTATAAGTAGGATAGATATCAATGTGGAGGACAATAAATCTTTGTTGTTCCTTACAAACTTCACGAATTTACGAGAACTTGTTTTCTTCGAATTTTATGACACCCATGAATCCTTTCAAGAATTTCAACACGTTAAGATGCCACAATTAAGAACTTTAAAATTTCAATATAGATTTCCAAAGAGCGTATACTTGGATAAATTCTTGGAAAATAATGGAAATTTTTTGAATGAAATTTCTATTGAATATAGTAATAATTCAATAAATTCCTCTGTGGCCAAATATTGTCCCAATTTAAAATCATTCTCAACCATTATCGTTGATGATGAATTCGAAATATTAAAGTTAATATTTGATAGTTGTGAAAAGTTAGAAAGCATTAAATTCGTTTGTGAATACGGATGGTACAAAAAGTTTCATTTGGAGAATGAATTGTTTGATATCATCGCGAGGTTTTCACCAAAAAATTTTCATAAATTAAAAATACGTTACATAGGTAACGCGCTTAATGTGCGTTCAGAATTAAGTCCTGAAGAGATGAACCTTTTCTTTATTAATTGGAGTAATCGTACACCACGAAGATCAATTTCTCTTACTATGGAAGAATTTAGTTTTAAGATTAACGAAGAAATTATTGAAATAGTTAATAATTATGTTAAATTGGGCGTCGTTAAGGAATTTACACATTATAACACGTAATATAGGTTCAATTTTGATGCGTGTTTTTCCATTTCCTTTTAAAAAATTTTATATGCCTAAATAGATTGTATATATTTTGGAGTATTAAGAAAAAATTCAAATTTAATAAAATGTACATACCAATTAAATTTCTGTAATAAATCCCGTGCGAGTTTTAATCACCAAAGATCTAAAAACTAAAAAATATATGTATATATATTCTGTGATCTTTTTCCAATTATAAGTCTGCTCGAACGCGTTTACTTTCATAATATTATCTTATCTTTATTGTAAAATATTATGACTTTATTTACAAAATAATACTATGTAAATTTCCCCAATAAAACTATTAATTTTCTTCACGACGTTGTTTAATGTTTCAGTTCCGCAATATTTGCAAATTCATTAATTCATCAAAAAGCTGCGAGATAATATTGGTCAAAGCTCAACACTACTTATTAAAATATAAAAATTTTTAGGATTTAATGTGTTAAAAAGATTTAAATTTAATTTCAAAAAAATATTACCTTATCCTCTGGATCGTAAGTTCGATATGCCATACTTCCAAGTGCATTATGAAATTTTGATGTATAGAAAAGTGAAAAAATTATTAATTATACTGAATAATAGTGATGGTAATTAAATTTACAACTATTGCATACCTTTTCTAAATCTGCTCTTCGATACGTCTTTTCCTAGGAACTCTACATTGAGCTGTCTAAATCCATCGCGTATGTCTTTAAAAAGTTGAACCAATACATGTATGGTTCCGCTTTAACAGTAAACAGAATATATGAGTACAGAATGACGCTAACTAACAACATGCAATCGAAATTACGAATACCTCTCAACGTCATCAAATATAGCGAAGGTGATTAGTGGATGACCCAGACCTCGTCTGCATTGAGAAATTCCTTATAAAGAGGCGTTTTGTAAATATGATCCTGGATAAACCCAAGATCTCTGGTGACCAAAAGCTCAAGAATAAATGTCAGTTCTCCGGATTTCTTGATCATAATATCGCTGTACTTATTCTACGATTTTTGTGAAGGTTGATAATATTATTATATATTCCTCTTCGGAATTTTGTTGCCGGACTTTCTCATCAACTTCAAGTATTCTTTCTGATCGTTTTTCTTTGCGAGCTTTCTTAATTTTATCTTCGTGATTTCGTTGTTCCTCAATTTCAAGCATTCCTTCTACTGAAGTTGAAGTTGAAGCAGATTTGGAGAGAACAGTGAGGTGGAGGTACCAGGTTGACTAAGTTTCCTCATAATTGAATATTTGAGATTGATTGATCTTGAATTCTTCCTCTTTGGCGCAGCTGGTAGACTAAAGCTTGCTTTTCGATATTTCTTTTCCTAGGAACTCTGTATGAACCCATCGCGTATATCTTTAAAACGTTGGAGGGAACAGTGAGATGGAGGTGCCAGCTAATATCAGTTTGACTACAATTCCTCATATTTGAACATTTGAGATGATCTTGAATTCTTCCTCGTTGGCACATTATGGGTCAATAGAGCGACCGTGTCACGAGAAGGAGATTAATGCATCACTTGTAACGAGCCTCGTAAATTGGTGGATGCAGACATGATCAGGATGACTACATCTCTTACAATGAGATTCACTCGCGCCCGCGATAGTTAGAAAGAGAGATAGCCCCTCTTTCTTGAGCTTGAAAGTAAAAAATGTACGACATTCAATCCTTTATTTAAGCTTTTTAGATGGCCAGTATGGTTTCGGAATTATTGGATCTTCGTGATCGAAACTTGCATACTTCCTTAAATACTCGCTCAAAATGGTTTTTTAACTTTGGCACAGATCCGGTTGCCAAGAGTTCAAGTATGGCTTCAGGATTTTTGTTCGGTTTTGTTATTGCAAGATCGTCTCTCTACACTTCTTGTGCATTATCAGCGTTTTTAAAAAAAAGTGTACGTTTAATCACAGTTTCTATAATTTGGACAAACAAAAATTGTTCCTCAGTTTGTATAAGTATTCCTTCAATTGGAAATCAGTTTGCTCTTCAATTTGGATAATGTCGAGATAAATCCTTATACCGTCGAAACTATAATAAATCAATAAAATCGTCGAAAGACGAGACTATTTACGTCGAAAGTCTTAAGTTTTGCCCCGCAATTAAAAGTCCTTAAAAAATGAGATGCGATGGTGCAAGCATGATCAGGATGGCTGCATATCTTTATGATGAGATAATCAATATTGTTGGCGCAGTATGTAAGTCATGTGATGAGTTAAAATGACGAGGGAGTCACGTTTGAGGCTTTTGCCTTTTCTCTTTATACTATTTTCTATAATTATCTTCGAGTTCCATAGCGATGTGGTTTATTACGACCTAGTAAATTCAATAGGTTATTTCTAGGACAATATTTTTCTTCCATCCAATAGTTGTTGCTCTTTTGGCATTTCATTTCACCGGAGGTTGCTGAGGTTTCTAAGTTACGGATCGTGTTTCGGTTCTTTATTATTTGCTCTTTTTCTTGGGGAAGTTTTTTTTCTTTTTTTTTTTTGATTGAAAAATTAGAACCCTTATATATCTTCGGAAGATGATCAAAAAAGGCAAGAAATATCATTGTAATAGATTATTTCTTTGTTATGTCATGAACTCAAATAAGTATTACAACACGTTCCATGTAAATTAAGAAACGTTTATTGATAAAGGATTGCAATCTTATCATTCTTACACTATCTATCATTTCCTTCGAATAAGTATATAGTTTTCACATTTTTTGGTGCCACTCAAAATACAAGGATTTTTGCGAGTTACACTTACTCTAAAATAATTTTAGCGATGGATATTCAAAATTTTGATCGCCCGGGATGCTGTACAGACAAATCATGTTTTCAAACGATAATTACATAAATTAAACCTAATTTTATAAAAATAATCGGTCACCCAAGACAACTTTTAACAATTTAGTCGATTTGTTTTTTAAAAAAAAAAATGTAAATAGGTTAATTAATATATATTTACTGTAAAATAATTTATTCCTGAAAAAAATAACCAAGCATAATTTTTTTTCAATTCGAAATTATAGAAAATTAAGAAGACGAACGAATTATCCTAATATATATATATACATACCATCTTCCTAGTATGATAGATATACTGTACATTTTTTAATAAATTTATTCTAAATTGATTATCAAAGTTATTAATAAAAAAAAAAAATAGCCATATTTCTTAATCCAACTTTTATTTTTTAAACAGAGAAAAAAAAATAATAAACAATTAATTATTATATAAAATTATTATCTTTTATAAATAATTTTTTAAGTAAAATATTATTAGTAACTTTTTTACATTAATTTATATATTTGATATTTTTTTATAAATTAAATCAATTTTGAATATTACGATTATGATTCTCTTCTATCAGCTTTGCTATTTTGATTAATCTTTTGATGAGCTTCTAAAACAAGATCTGATTCTACAATTTGACTTACTAAAATTAAGGAAAATTCTCACAAAATCTTTTATTTACAGCTAGAAGATATTCCCAAATAATAAAGTGATGAAAAAATATTTACTATTAATCAATTATAAAATTATAAAATCCTTCTTCTTTATAAATTTTTACCCAGAATTTGATCCAAATCAGATGGAATTCAAAACTTATACATTTTTTTTAGGACATTTAATGCAGGAATCTGTAAAAATTTTTTTGATTTATCAAAAAATTTTGATTTACATAATTTAACTGGAATTAACAATTAGGTATATAATTCTGACTAGAATTAAGATTAAGTATCAATAACAAAATGTTTTTATTATATGTAATTGTAAAATTACCAAAATTAATCAATACAATTAGAGATACTAATAGTTACGATCATGACTGATTATAATAGTCATAATCATAAATATATCAGTTAGTCAAAGGTTTCTGATTGAGCAGTTGACCAAACATTTTTTAATTAGTAATCCAAGAATTCTTTACATTTAATTAACAATTATTTTAGTGATATAATTTTTTATAAATAAAATTACTTTATTTTTAAAAAAAAGTTCATGATAATACTTTATCATAAAGTAAGCTTAATATGCATATTAAGATAGCTAAAATAAATAAGTAAATTATATAAAAATTCAATAGTATTTAGCAAATCACTAGTTGAACAATAACAAATAAGGAACCAATCAAGTCAAATCTGATTTATCAGATTTGACTTGATTGTTCTTTTTTTTAGCATCAGATGATTCTAATTAATGATGAATAATAATGCAGATAGGAAACATTAGAATCTAATTGAAATATTAATAGAATTATTCAATTTATTAATATTCAGCTTCCAATCAGATTATTCTTAAATCATCAATAAGGATATTTTTATTGTTTTTTTTATAATGTGTAAAGTAGAAGTAATTCTTTATAAGAAATCTTGCCATCTCAATGAGACAGAAGTTTGTGTATCTTATAGAAACTCCTGTAATTTCAACATCTATTCATACTAAGGTATTGGATAAGGCAACCATTCACTAATACTATTTTAGTCATTGTCATCTATACAAAGGTTCTTACTAGAATCAGTGTTGGCACATGATCTTGTCATTTGAATTAAAATATGACTTTTAGTCATTTAGTCATATAACCGATAGTCATTTTATCATTTGTTATATATTTACGTCACATGTCATATAATTTACATAAATAATAGTCATATGATATGACTTTAGATCATTTATCATTTTATCATATAATTTTTAATTAACCAATTAAAATTAATCAAGTGTAATTTAAAAATAATAGACTTTTCAATAATCATTAAATTTCTATGAATACAAATTTACATTTTTAAAATGCCAACACTACACAAATTTCAAAATTTTTAGTTTAGTTCCTAATTCTAATAATAAATCTAATGCAAAAACAGTATGCATTTTTTTTAGTTCAAAAAATGGAAGAATCCAAGCAGTAGCATTGATACTAGGATGTTATACAACTAATAAATCAAATTTGTATCGTACTCATTTAGCAAATTGTATCCATTTTAAAGATACTTATACAAGTGAGAAAGTAGAAGAAATTTTATCTCAGTCAGTTCCAGAAGATAAATAAAAGTTAAATGAATTAAGTACATAATTTAATTTTATAATAATTATTATAAAAGTAAATATAATATAACTTTTTTTTATATTAAAGATAATGATAATGAAGACATACCTTCTTCTAAATATCAAAAATATTTTACTTCAAATTCATCTAATATAGCTTTACAATCAACCTTAATTAATTGGTATAATAGACTTATGTCTCATAAAAATATACCTACATTTAAAATATTAATGGTTAAAATGTGTATTTCAAATGGTCTTCCTTTTTCTTTTATGAAAAATAAAGAAATTCAAGCAGTGCTTAATTTTATTGCTTCTGATCTTAAGCTTCCAAATCGCAAAAGCTTGGTGGAAAATTTTATTAAAAACATTAGAAAGTTTTCAAGAAAATATATTGAAACTAATACATTAGATTACAATAAGTTAACTGCTATATTTGATGGATAGACAAATGTAAAGCAAGAAAATATTTGGGGTGTTGTACTAATTACTTCAAAAGGACAATCATTAATTTGAGATGCTCAAGAAACAAGCTCTGAATAATTAAGAACTAAAGATGTTATAAATATATTGAACAATTAATGAATGATGCAAAAAACAAAAAAAATGTTAATATTAAAGCATCTGTATCAGATTCTGCTGGGGAATATGCTACTACAAGGTAAATTAAATTAAAAAAAAATATATAATATATTATTTTATTTATAATATTTTAATTACTAATAGAAAATAATTAAGTAGGGTTCCGCAATTCGATTTGACATTTGAATATTTGATTTGAAAATCAAATCAAATACAAATTCAAATTTATATTTGATTTGAT